TTGGGACACATGCCCAGGTTGTGGGCAGATCCCTAGTGTGGGGCATGCAGGAGGTGGTCACCGATGTTTCTCTCTCTCTCCCTCTCACTTCTCTCTCTAAAATCAATAAAGAAAAAATACAAACAAAAAGCAGAATACTTTGAAAACAAGCTTTTTTTAAAAAAAAAAACAGTCAAAATCTGAAAACTTCTTTTGCAGTTATTGGCCATTTAAACTTGTCATTTGAATGAATATTGTTTTAGCATAATGAAGTTGGTGAGAAGTGTCTCCACAGTGATGTGCCTGGCGTAGCAAAGGTCAGTGGACCAGGGATTGGAAAAAAATATTGAAACAAATGAATGAAAACAGGACCTGTACAGAATGACTAAAGAATTTATGTTATTTGGCTTAGAGTGAGTAAATTTAAAGGTAAACCTTCATTAAATACTAATTGGCCGAGAGCATTTTGTAAGATGATGGGAAGCTCTCCTTTTAAAGTGTTTACAGGTGAGTTAGCAGCCTCCCTGGGAACCTACAGGTAAAGTTCTCTCTGGTTGGAGGTGTCATCCATCCATCCATCCATCCACCCACCCATCCATCCATAGATACATTCATCTACCCATCCATCCACCCACCCATCCATCATCCATCTGTCCATCCATCCATCTATCCATCCATCCATCCATGGATACATTCATCTACTCATCCATCCGCCCATCCATCCATTATCCATCTGTCCATCTATCCTCCCATCCATCATCCATCTGTCCATCCATCCATCCATCTGTAGAATATCACTGATTACATCCTCAATGGAGAAAAAATGGGAAATGGTTTGTTAGTAATAAAGAACTAGAGAGTGATGACCAATACCACCCGTTTAAGAGGTGATTAGTTTCTTGATCTCTTAATATAAAAAAATGTCTTTCTTGGCCCTGGCCGGTTTGGCTCAGCGGTTAGAGCATCGGCCCACAGACCAGAGATTTGCGTGTTCGATTCCGGTCAAGAGCACATATTTCGGTTGCACTTTGTCCCTGGCCCCCCTGGTCAGGGTAGTGCAAGAGGTGATTAATCCATATGTCCCTCTCACATGGATGTTTCTCTCTCTGTCCCTTCTTCCCACTCTATCTGAAGATAAAGGGGAAAATATCCTCGGGTAAGAATTAAAAAAAAAAATTTCTTCCTTAAAACACTTATTTAAAAACAGGGACAAGCTGGATCTCCGTGTGTCTAGTTATCCTTTGAAGTTCAGAATAATGATTTAAAAACACAAGTCATGGCTCAATTGGTTTCACACGCAGTCAGCTTTGAGCTTATTTCTTTTTACTTTCAGCACGGAAATCATTGACCTGGTATTGAAGTCATCACACCATTTCAACAGTAGGAAGAAAAAATAAATCAGTCTTCACATTTAAGTCAGTTGGTCCTTTTTTAATAAATTTGAATTCATTCATCAACAAGTTTCATATTGTATCTATCACTCAATTTTGCTGTTTTTTTTTTTCATGTCAAATAATACCAAAAAAATTACATCAATGTGCTTAAGCAAAATTGGGTTTTATCTTTACAATGAAATGAAATCAACATGGGAATTGATCACGACAGCAGTCGCCTGTTAACTACTAGAATAATCCTGTACTTACCTTGAACACACTCATGACTTGTGAAGCGGGAATAGAGGACAAGACAAAACATGAGGCTGGCCCTAGGGAGAGGCCTGGTGTGTGAGCCAGTCCTGGGAGGTCGCTGTTTACCCAGGTGTTGGGAATTGAGTGTTTCAGGAAAACATGGCACCTTCAATGCAGTAGAAGAGGTAATCGATCCAAGGCACACTAGCTAGTGTCCTGGGAAAATTTAATCCACCTGGGCAGCTCTTTGCCCCACGGTTCCGTGTCACTCTGACTGGTGGGTCCTGGAGGGGGCAAGAGCCATGAGCAAGAAAATATTTCACCAATTGTTCAGTTTCGCTTACGTAAAAGGGACTGGTTTTCAGGTGGAGAGTTAAAGTGAGAATTATAGGAGGGTTTATTCTTTCAAGTCAGGAGATTCAAAGTTGGACCCATTCGCTTAGAATGATTGTCTCCCAGATGCTGAAAATGAACATCTACAGCTGTGATCTACCTGTCCCTTAAAACCAGTCCCAAGCACACTTGGCATCCCCTCTGCCAGGGCTCCTTGGGAGACATATTAACTCCAGAGCTGGGGGGTGGGGGGGCCTTCGAGGTGAATGACATGTCAGAGTCCCGGGTGCTGGCGTTAAACACACGTCACCACAGGTACACCTGTCATTTCCAAACCTACAGGAATATTCTCGACGTATTTTCTAGTCCATTTCAGAATCAGAGGGAATGAATGTCTCATGGTATAGACAGTGAAATCTCTACAGCGCCGGGGTCGATGGACAAGAATAACACTGTTTTACGGGTGACTCAAGTGTGATGGGTGTTGGTCTGTGGGGACTTACGAAGTCAAGCTCTTGAACTGTCTCAAATATGTCTGAACACGGGTCGTAAGAGTCTTCCGTGCATTTTGAGCCCCTTTGAAGCATTCCGGAAAGACAGGACTCCTTAGAAAATTAACTTTTTATTACGTTCAGTTGTTGAGAAAGAAATATCATGATATTCCAGATTCAACTATTCTCTCCTTAAGCAAGAGGTCGGGATGTGAGGGGCTGCTCCCTGACAGTAACTGGCACCAAACGATGGGCAGGGCTCGCTCGCTGGCAACAGTAGCTGCTGTGTGGTTGCAAGAGGTCATCACAACCTCTCTGAGGCTAAACCAGTCGGAGTTCTGCTTCTCAGTGTTTCTCACATCTTTTAAAAATGGAGAAGCTATAAAATAATTGTATCAGAAGAAAACAAATTTTCTTCTTCAATGAAGTAAAGCAAAGGATCTTACCCAAGGATCTTAAAAAGTGTCTGTTTTTTTACAGAATGTGTGTGTGTGTGTGTGTGTGGTGTGTGTGTGTAGTTACAAACACTATTTATAGTATAGCTATTATGTTAACTTCATCGCAGTGTCTGCAAAGTTGTGGGTCCCAGTCTCGGCGTCAAAAGCATATGGAAAAGCTCAAAAGCTATTATGACTATACCATGCAAATTTATACCCAGGAAACCTCAGGAAGTAGACTGTAGTCTGAGCCTCATGGGGTCTGCTTTTGCTATTTGGGTTCCTCCACTATGCATCAGAAATGTTTCGCTTTGCTTTTCTACCAGAAAGAATTCATGTCGCCGTTCTGAGGGGTATCTGTTGAACTGAGACCGACCCCTGACTGCGTTCCGTCCACGGTCTGCACGCGGAGCTCGGTCCTTGGGTGACTGGACAGAGACGGATACCTGAAGTGTTGAACGTGATAGTGTCTTTGTTTCTTTAATGTGTTAACAATGATAAGGCCACTTGCAAGGTTTTTCCCAATCTGCCTAACGGTGAAGCTCCCCGGTGTTACCCACGGAAGAAAATGTGCCAGAGACCAGCCAACGACCAAGAAATCACTGGCTAGTCTCTAGGTAAAAACAAAACCAAGGAGCAGGACCGGGGAGGAAGGAGGGAAAGGATTTTATAAAAATCGGTTCTTGCTTCTAGCGTTAGACTTTGCTGACTACGTTTCATCGGACGGTGGTTTCTGGGCTGTTACGGACCCCCACAAAGTAAAGGTTGCGATGGCCCCCGGAGGAAAATCTAGTGATGCTCAGCTCGTGGTGAGAGCCCACGCCACACCACCCTCGGAAGGGTGGTCCCTCTGTCTACGTGGCGAATGCTGGTACCAGCTGTTACAGGGCTGGCCACTGGGCAGAACAAAGAGGGAGACGCATAAATGGCATTTGGGGACAACGTATTAACTTAACAGTTCTTTTCTGAATATTTTGCTTTTGCTTTTTTTTTTCCCTCCAAGTGCTTCACTTCCCTGGGACACCTGTTTGCACAGCTGCAGTCCCTTGTCTGTGCATGCCTGTGATAGAAATATTGTTTACAAAAAATATATCATCTCTTTTTTTTTTTTTCTTTAGAAAGATCTCATCTAAATAGTAAGTTAAGGTTGCGTCTATGAAACCGGTGCACCTTGTCATGTTCTACGAGCTGTGAGAAGCCCAGGTACGGCTGAGGCTGTGGGTCAAATGCAAAGAAACGTGTGTGTGGTCAGGCTCCTGTCGTGGTCAGCGGGGTGTGTGCGGGGGCCGGTCCCCCTCCGCAGCGTCCGAGGTGGACCAGGAGGGGCGGGGTGTGCTTATGACATTTGTCAGAGACAGAAATGATGGCATGAGGATGTTTCTTGGTTTCTGACATTGAACAGTAAAGGGTTTCCACTCCAATCTTAATTCTAGATAACAGAAAGTTAGTTACAGCACGTGAAATTATGACACCGCATGCTGCCATGGTAGCTAGCATAAAAACCAAAATCCGGGTAAATATACACAGATATGCATATTATGCAAATATAGTCGGGTATTAACATACAATGTTATAAGAGTGGTGACGTAAACACAAGCAGGGAGGTGGTCCTGGGTGGTCTTCCTCAGAGGAACAGAGAACCTGAGACACCTATGCTTTCCGTGAAATATCAGGCGTGGGGATCCGCAGCTGAGACGTGGAGCCCGTTCTCGGGGGTCCCGCCGGGCAGGCCCCACTCCGAGGCCCGCACCGCACGGAGCGTCCGGGCACTTACAGTGAGAAGCGCCCACTCCTGACGGTGCTCGCGGGTGGGCGTCCAGATGTCCGCGGGTCTCGCTGTGGCCAGGACAGCAGGTGACAGCGCACCTCAGCCAGGAGACCAGCACAGAGACGGGACCGGTGGAAGAAACCCCGACGTCAAAGGAGCCGACACCTCCGCTCGGGGAATGGACAGAGGACGTGAGTGTGTGACGTGGTGGGAACTATCGACACCGCCGGACGAGTTTCTGAGTTTCACACTGAAACAGCGAACTCAGGGTCCTAAAAGACACAGTTCGGGATGGGATTATGTTCCGTGCCCTCATCCTCAAGGTATAAGTTTAGACAGCGCTTGTCCCTTCCAGTTAAAAAAGAAAAAAAAAAACCGACGACTTCCTTTAATACGCATCTGTGTCAAATGTGTCCGTAGCTGCAAAATGTATGGGTGTATGTGTATTTCTTCTACATACATGTGGGCACTTACACCTGTGTGTATAAACATATACACATACATCCTCATATACACGTGTATTTTATATATATGCTGAGAAAGTTCACATATATATACAATCGCGTATGTATACGTGTGTGTGTCTGCGTGTGTGTCTCTGTGTGTGCACAGGTATAAAAACTTGACAGGCAGAGAAATACTTCACTCAGTGTTAAATGAAGTCTTTGAAAAATCGGGTGCAGCCACTCAGTTAACGTAGTACAGCCAGTAAACCAGGTTGAAGAGAGAAAAAGTGAAAGGGAACACAATCCTGGACCACCTGTCAATGGCGTTTACATCGGTCAGATCGGGGATTTTAATTTTGAGCTGCGAAGACCTCCTCCGTAGATGGGTCTTCTTGTGCGGCATGCTCCTGTCCCCCAGGTACCGCCCATGCCCTTCCCTAGGCATGCTCTGTTTCCTGTACTGGATTCCTGAGTTGTCAAAGGATATTGCTGAATTCCTGGTGTCCCCGAGGCCGCCCGCCACCTCGTTCATCTCATTGTGCACCTCCAGGGACGTCAACAGGATGTTTCCATGAGCGTCCACCTAATTGGAAGGAAACGCACAGAGTTAGGCCGCCCGCCTGCCGCGGGGTCCGGCTTCCACACGCACACCCAGGGCAGCCGTGCCCCGCTGTCCCGCCCCACGATTAGGAGAAGCTGCACATCTGTCAGACCCGCGCTGTGTGCGTGGGAGGTGTCACCCGGGAGGTCTCCCTGCAGTTTGGAAATTTTATTTCCCTGCTTTGAAAATTCGCACCCAGGAGATGAGACAGAATGCACGGGGGAGGGAGTGGCCGTCTCAAATTGAAATTTCTCATGATGGATCCTTACTGGAGAGGAAATGAAAGTGCAAATGTCTTTTAAGACGTTCACGTCGGTGTCACAACCGTTTTTCACGACTGGTGGCAACCGGGCTCCTGTTTTTCCTCGCGAGTCAGCTTGTCCCCACTTCTGATGGTATAAAAGTACCCACATGTCCGTGCAGAACAAGGAAAAGCCCTGTGGTGGAAGGTACCTCGGAGGCGCAGATCCAGCCCCCACCAAGCACCAGCTCCGTGTTCGGTTCTAGTCCTGGCCACGTTTGAGATGGACCAAAGTCCCCGCCTCCACCTCTGCGCCAAACTTGAAAACAAACATTTATTTCTGCAGGAGACTAGGAAGCGTTGGCCTCTCCAGCTTCTGCAGTGACTGTGGTTTTTATGTAACACTCAGCACCTTGGAGGAGGCAACCTTCTGGGTTATGATCAGCCTGCACCATACCTACTGAAGGGTCACCCAAGGAACCGTCGTGACAGGTGAGCTTTGGGGTCAGGGTGGGGGGTCCAGGAATGGCATGGGGGGTGGTCAAGACGGTGGAGGGCCTACCCGGTTGCTTTCGCTCTTCGAACGGTCGTTCTTGGCTTTGGCGGTCCTCTCAGCCAGCTTCTTCTGCCTCTGAGGACCTCTCCCAAAGAAGATGTAGTTGACGAAGGCGTACTCCAGAAGGGCCAGGAACACGAACACAAAGCAGCCCATGAGGTACATGTCAATGGCTTTGACGTAGGGGATCTTGGGCAACGTCTCCCGAAGGTGCGTGTTGATGGTTGTCATGGTCAGCACGGTCGTGATCCCTGCCAAAGACACAGAAGGTGAGGGCTGGAGCTCTCGACTCTCTTTGCATGTTCTCAGACAGTGTCAAGGAGCTGGAAAGACCCCGTGCTCCCTGCAAAGGGTGAAGACATGAAAATAAACCTAGAATTCCACGTAAAACAGTGTCCGGATGAGAAGTTTCGGGAAAAAGAATGAATCTCTGAAGACTCTGAGGGTCTAAGAAGGTGTCTTGGGCGGAGAGGCCAGGCCGTTACTGAGGCTAAAGCCTCTCCATCAGAATAAACCACTCTTACCACATCGCTGTACCAGGGGCGGGGAGGAGATCACGGTTTTTGAGACTCTATGGACCTGATCCCACACTGAGCACGAAGAGAAGGCGGAGCTGGGGGAGGCCCCGAGGGCAGCTGGTCGCACAGAGCCCTGCTCGGAGGACAGAGCCTTCACCCGCCGCCCGGGATGTGCTGGCTGACCTCGAGGGCTCATATTTTTTTTTTTTTTTTATCCTCACCAGAGGACATTTTTCCACTTTTTGCTCAGGTAGAGTGGGGGGGGGAGAGAGGAACAGAGAGAGAGAGAAACATCGATGTGAAAGGGACACATCGAGTGGCTGCCACCCGCACAACCGACCAGGGCCGGGGACAAACTGCAACCAAGGTACGTGCCCTTAGCGGGAACCGAACCCGGGTGTCTCAGGACCGCAGGCCGACGCTCCAACCGCTGAGCCAAACCGGCCAGGGCAAGGGCTCATATTTAATCCAACCATCAATTCTCACCATACTCTGGGGTAGCTGACCGCTCCCCTTCCTTTTTGATGTCATGACGTTGAGTTTTTTTAGATAGCAGTGAAGTCATATGGTTCTTAACTTTTCTATCTAACTCATTTCGCTTAGCATGAGCCTCTCCAGGTCCGCCCATGTTGCTGCAAATGGCGGTATTTTGTTTTTCCTACAGCTGAGTAGTGTTCCACTGTGTGCAGGTACCACATCGTCTTGATCTAGTTATCTAGCCAAACGCTTCTTAAATTCAACTGATACCTTTAGAAATACTTACCCGGAGTGTCTTACATCATTGTCACGTGTATTTCATAGGAAAATATCCAATCTTAAATCTAACGGTGCAAGTCACGTATCTGCATCTAATGCAGACAGCTACCTACAACAGGCACACAAACCCTGGACACATGCTAGCCTGGGGAGGTCCTGGGGAGGGTGGCGCACAGCCCCTGGACACATGCTAGCCTGGGGAGGTCCTGAGAGGGTGGTGCACAGCCCCTGGGCACATGCTAGCCTGGGGAGGTCCTGGGGAGGGTGGCGCACGGCCCCTGGACACATGCTAGCCTGGGGAGGTCCTGGGGAGGGTGGCGCACAGCCCCTGGACACATGCTAGCCTGGGGAGGTCCTGGGGAGGGTGGCGCACGGCCCCTGGACACATGCTAGCCTGGGGAGGTCCTGGGGAGGGTGGCGCACGGCCCCTGGACACATGCTAGCCTGGGAGGTCCTGGGGAGGGTGGCGCACGGCCCCTGGACACATGCTAGCCTGGGGAGGTCCTGGGGAGGGTGGCGCACAGCCCCTGGACACATGCTAGCCTGGGGAGGTCCTGGGGAGGGTGGCGCACGGCCCCTGGACACATGCTAGCCTGGGGAGGTCCTGGGGAGGGTGGCGCACGGCCCCTGGACACATGCTAGCCTGGGGAGGTCCTGGGGAGGGGTGGCCACGGCCCTGGACACATGCTAGCCTGGGGAGGTCCTAGGGAGGGTGGTGCACGGCCCCTGGACACATGCTAGCCTGGGGAGGTCCTGGGGAGGGTGGCGCACGGCCCCTGGACACATGCTAGCCTGGGGAGGTCCTAGGGAGGGTGGCGCACGGCCCCTGGACACATGCTAGCCTGGGGAGGTCCTGGGGAGGGTGGCGCACAGCCCCTGGACACATGCTAGCCTGGGGAGGTCCTGGGGAGGGTGGTGCACAGCCCCTGGACTTCTCACACTTCTCTGTGATTCACCAACAAATGTGTTCATTTCTATACATTTTAAAGAGTATTACTGATCATTCTACGTTCAGGAATTCAATTCAACCCCCTCCCCACCCCTCACACACACATACAAGAGAAGAGATAAATTGGATCATTTCTCCTGAGCTCTGTATTTACTTAAAATGCATTTGAATATTCACATTGTCCATGTGGTCTCATAATGTCTAGCTGAGAACAGAATGATCTTTCTGAAAATATAAGCCTTCCTTCAATATTCAGTATATATTAGAAGTAATATTGGAACCTATACTATTCACTGTACATCAGCTGATAATTGTCAAATGATCACTGGCCAAGAAACATCACCAGAGCTCTTGGGAATCAGTCAGAATCAAATTGTGTGTGAATGTGTGTGTGTGTGTGTGCGTGTGTGTGTATTCCCCGCCCCCCCAAATCCTCATCCGAGGACATTCTTCCATTTATCTTCAGGTAGAGTGGGAGGGGGAGAGAGAGAGAGAGAAACATTGATGCGACAGAGACACATGGATTGGTTGCCTCCTGCATGACCCCAATCAGGGCCGAGGACCAAACTGCCACAGAGGTACGTGCCCTTGACTGGAATCGAACCCGCAACTCTTTGGTCCTCAGGCCCACAATCTAACCGCTGAACCACACCGGCCAGGGCTCAAATAATATACTTTAATGCTCATTACAGTGTGTAATTCCCATTATACGCTATAATAAATATTTGACTATTTTTCTGACTTAAAGATGAATGCATAATTAACCACGTCTTCTTTCTGGGCCTTAGAATAATTCTGAACAGGAGATTGTTAATCCTGCTTTAAGATTAGTGTCGGAAATAGTTTTATTATGCAAATACTCAGCGAGTGCGTGTTCGCTCTCGTGGGCATGATAATTCAATGGCCCGTCCAAGCAACTGTGCACAGAACGAGTGTTTCTGGACAGAACACGTAAGGGCAGGACAGGGGCGATACGGCGAAAGCCTGTTGACCTCTAGCCTTTGAACTCCTGGATGCTGTGATGACAGGGTCTCTTTACTTGTTAGATATCATTTTATTTTATTATTATAATAATAATTATTTTAAATATGTTTTTATTGACTCTTTAAGAGAGAGAGGAAGGGAGAGAGAGACAGAAACATCGATGTGGGAGAGAAACATCGATGGGCTGCCTCCTGCACGCCCCCTGCTGGGGATCGAGCCCACAACCCGGGCATGTGCCTCCACCAGGAATCAAACTGGGTGGGACCTTTCAGTCCATGAGACGACACTCAATCCACTGAGCCACACTAGTTGGACTTTAGATGTCATTTTAAAATAGCACATCCCATAAGCCAATCAGAGAAAGACAAGTATCTCACGATTTCACTTATATGTGCAATCTAAATGAACAAAATAAACGGATGAATAAAATAGGAACCGAGGAATGGAAACATGGAACACACTGACGAGCCTCAGAGGGAAGATGGGCAGGGGCAGGAAGAACTAAACCAAAGAACTTAGATGCATATATGCATAACCCGCAGACACAGACAATAGTGCGGTGAAGGCAGGGTGGGCAGGAGCTGGAAGGAGAGGGTCAACGGGAAAAATCTGTAGTAGTCTCAACAATAAAGATTTTTAAAGAATAAATAAAATGGCACATACCAAGGGCAACTCGAGCGGCAGATGCATCATAATTGATCCAGAAGGAGACCCAGGAGAGAATAGTGATTAGTATCGATGGCATGTACGTCTGCAGAATGAAGTACCCAATGTTCCTCTTCAATCGGAAGCTCAGGGACAGACGAGGGTAGGCACCTGTGCGAACAGACAAGGGTTACCGCTGTTGGAAAGACAGTGCGTGGCCCTGGCAGGGTGGCTCAGTGGGTTACAGTGTTGTCCTGATACACCAATGTTGCGGGTTCCATCCCCAGTCAGGGCACATACAAGAGGCACCCAGTGAATGCATCAATAAATGGAACAACAAATTGATGTTTCTCTCTCTCTCTCTCAAATCAATCGATAAAAAAAAAATACCTTAATCTCTGAACACTTGCCAAGGTGCTCATTAACACAGAATTTAGCATTAAGAAAATATAGCATTTTCTTGTGTATTTGTTTAGTAAATACATTCTATTGGTTGAAATCGACTTCTATTCGACACAGTTTTAGGCATTCACCACACCCTACCCTTCCCGGCTCACAATCCAGGGGCGGGAAGGTGAGCAGAGACGTCAACAAACACCAGAATCTCCAGTGATGTCAGGACTTGTTCTAAGCAAAGAGCACAGAAAAGTATTTTGGTGGCGCTGACAGACAGTCCTTCCGCTGGCACGGTGAAATGCCGTCGCGACGCCCTGTCCACGGGCACCCTCCCCGACGATCACAGCTAGTGGCTGACAATTTGGAGCTGAAAAGTGATGCGTCAGTGGCACCAAGACGTACCCTTCAAAATAGCAACAGAAGCTTAAACATGACAGCAGGAGGGCACAGAAGCCCCAACGCCCGTGCGCCAATGCAGAGATGGTCAGATTCCCAAGTAGTGCTGAGCCGACAGACACGAAACAGCCGAACAGTCCCTGAGCGCGAGGGCACCGTTCCAAGACAGGGCTGCCTGGCAGGGTCATCGACTGAAGCTGCTGATCTCAACGCTTTCTCCCCAGATGCAATAGAAGCTACAGCCCAAAGCAAGGCTCTGCTTCTCTCATTCAGCCTAAGTGAATACTGCTGTCTAAGGCACGGATGTTGTTGAAGAACTCATAAAAATGCAGACGCAGAGTATCATGTCACCTTTGTGGAGTGATAAGAGCCACTAAAATGCATCTATAAAGTAATAAGCTGATATTCTAGCAACTGCAGAGCTGACCTATATACACGTACCTTCCCCCTTCAAGGTGGCCGCAAGCTCTCCCACCAATGCCTAAGGAGCTCTGTGAGCTCAGAACCTCTCTTGGGGTCTCTATCATGCTGCCTCATTCGTTTATAATCTACCTTTGGGTCCTGCCCAGAGGAAGTGGAGTCTAGACTAAGTTTAAGAGTGACTAGGGTACTGGCACAAGAACAGGCAGATAGATCAATGGAACAGAACAGAGAACCCAGAAATGGACCCAAGACAGTATGCTCAATTAATATTTGACAAAGGTGGCAAGAGCATACAGTGGAGTCAAGACAGTCTCTTCAATAAATGGTGTTGGGAAAATTGGACAGCTACTTGCAAAAAAATGAGGCTAGAACACCAACTTACACCATACACAAGAATAAATTCAAAATGGATAAAAGACTTAAATGTAACTCGTGAATCCATAAGAATTCTAGAAGAAAATGTAGGCAACAAAATCTCAGACATCATATGCAGCAGAATTTTCACTGATACATCACCCAAGGCAACAGAAACAAAGGAAAAAATGAACACATGGGACTACATCAAACTTAAAAGTTTCTGCACAGCAAAAGAAACAACCATCAAAATGAAAAGGGATCCCACTATATGGGAGACCATAATTGCCAATGATGCATCAGATAAGGGGTTAATTTTCAAAATATATAGAGTGCTCATACAACTCAACAAAAGGAAGACAAAGAACCCAATTTAAAAATGGACACCTCTCCAAAAAGGACATACAAATGGCTAAGAGACATATGAAGAAATGCTCAACATCACTAATCATCAGAGAGATGCAAATTAAAACAACAATGAGCCCTGTCCGGTTGCTCAGTGGTTAGAGCATCGGCCTGCGGTCTAGAGAGACCAGGGCTCGGTTCCCGCTATAAGGGCACATACCTCGGTTGCAGTTTGTCCCCAGCACTGGTTGGGTCGTGCGGTTAGCAGCCACTCTATGTGTCCCTTTCACATCGATGTTTCTCTCTCTCTCTCTTCCTCTCTCTCCCTCCCAATCTATCTGAACAACAACAACAAAAAATGGAAAAAATGTCCTTGGTTGAGGATAAAAACAACAACAGCAACAATGAGGTATCACCTCACACCTGTCAGAATGGACGCCATCAACAAATCATCAAACAACAAGTGCTGGCGAGGGTGTGGAGAAAAGGGGACTCCAGTACACTGCTGGTGGGAATGCAGACTGGTGCAGCCGCTATGGAAAACAATATGGTGTTACCTCAAAAAGTTAAAAATTGAACGGCCATTTGATCCAGTGATCCCACTTCTAGGAATATACTCTAAAAAATCTGAAACATCAATCAGAAAGAATATACGTATCCCTATATTCATAGCAGCACTATTTACAATAGCTAAGATCTGGAAACAACCCAAGTGTCCATCAGTAGACGAATGGATAAAAAGCTGTGGTACATACACACAATGGAGTACTATGCAGCTGTAAAAAGGTCTCTTATCCTTTGAGATGACATGGAAGGACCTGGAGAGTATTATGCAAAGCAAAACAAGCCAAGCAGAGAAAGACAAATATCACATGATCTCACTTATTTGTGGAATATAATGAACTAAACAAACTGCTGAACAAAATTAACCCAGAGACATAGAGGTGGGGTACAGACTGACAAGCCTCAGAGAAGGGAGGTTTGTGAAGGAAGAGATAAACCACAGAACTTACATGCATGTAGCATGACCAATGAACACAGACAACAAAGCTGGGGATGGGGTGAGGGGGAAGGGGAGGAGGATGTCAATGGGGGAAAAATGAGAAACATCTGTAACAAAAAAAAAAAAATCAATCAATAAAAAATAAATTAATTAAAAAAAAAAAAAGAGTGACTAGGAGGTGGCCAGGCGGAGGGAGGCAGGTGGCCGTGGGTCACAGGCGTTCAGGCCAGAGGCAACAGGCTTCGAGAATGGGGCTAATCCCACCCCCGCCTGTTGCTGCTGACGCTCTAGAGACAGGAGGGAATGGGGGTGGGAAGTCCCAGCTTTGCCTCTGCTGAGAATTTCATCCCTGAGTCTGTGGTCTTGATAACACTGTGCAGTTCCGCAGTGTCGTTTATCTCGGTTACAACACACAGCACTGGCCCTGGCCGGTTTGGCTCAGTGGTTAGAGCGTCGGCCTGCGGTCCAGAGAGACCCGGGTTCGGTTCCCGCTAAGGGCATGTACCTCGGTTGCAGTTTATCCCCGGCCCTGGTTGGTTGTGCGGGTGGCAGCCACTTGATGTGTCCCTTTCACGTCGATGTTTCTCTCTCTCTCTCCCCCTCTCTCTCTCCCTCCCACTCTGTCTGAACAAAAAATGGAAAAATGTCCTCGGGTGAGGATTAAAAAACAAAACAAAAAAAAAAAACAACACACAGCACTGAGTGAGCATTCGGAGGGGGCACCATGCATTGTACATGCACACGCCGCGATTCAGTAAATCCTCAGCAAGACCAGACGGGGAGCGGATACCGTCTCCGTCTCCGGACAGTGGAGACAAGGAGGACAACGAGACCCAGGCCACGGCCGCTTACTGCTAGGAGCGGATGCCCGTGTCTGAAGAGTCTAACGGAGGGTGGTCCAGGTTCAAGTTCCTGGACCACCCAGGCTGGCTGCGAGCCCAGAAGTGGGGAGGTCTTTCACCTCTGGGAGAACAGCACTCGCCTCCTCAGGTCCTCTCTCCCCTTCCTTCCTGCTCCAAGGCCACGGGTGGCCTCTCGTCTGCCCAGAATGAATTGCTTATGTCACCGAACATGGGTTGACTGAATTCACCCTCAGTCTTTTAACTTCTCAAAAGCCGGGGCCCAGCTTATTGTCAGGCGAGCCTTCTGCTCATCAGAGCTTACCGATCCCTTTTGGAGACAGAGAAAAGGGGCATCTAATGGGATGAATCACCGATGACAGCGCTGCTTTGGATGACCCAGCGCTGCGAGTCAGTTGCAGGGCGTCTCCCAAGGGGACCGCCACGGCCCAGGCCGCCGGCGAATGCAGGGAGTGGGACCCGGGCCTTACCTGTGGCAAAGACAACATTCCTGGACACCAGACGATGCTCCACAATGGAGAACTGAGGGAGCTCGATCCTTTCCACCCCGGTGACAGCCTTGTCACCGCCGCGCCAGTAAAATTCAATGTCATCCGTGGTGTAGCCGTCTGCCGGGACAGAGAAGCAGGGACAGGGACGCACAACGTTCAAGAAACGGTCACAGAGAGACTTGCCCACATTTCAAGTATGTTTGATGTGCTTGTTTGTGAGGAGTGTCGTCAGAGAACTGACTCTCAGATACTTTTGTTACCTCTGCTTTGAGGTAGGACAGGCTGGTGTTAAAAAGTAAAAAAAAAAAACATGGGAGGCTCAGTGCTCCGACCAGGGTTCTGCTCACACAGCCTAACTGCAGAGCTGGCCTGGACGCTGCCCGGAAATGGATTTAAAACATATTAACAACGATACGGTGGCTGCGAGACAAGATGGGAACTCAAGCGTGATGAATTCCGGAAAGGCACCTGTTCTCAAAGCCACTGACGAGTTAAAACACTGAGGGTGAACTGAGCTCATCGACGTTTGATGACATCAGAAACTCTTAGAGCAAAAGTAGTGTTCTCGGCATTTCTGCATGGTTGCCTCAGGTGGCCACGGGGTGTGCCATCCTCAGAAATGCCTTTTGTGGGGACACTTCTGACCCGCAGAGATTTGCACAAAGGCCTCATAGCCAGAGTACAGCTCCAAACACCGCTCTCAGCACAGTGCCCGTGGGCAATGCTTCTGCAAAGGGAGAAGGCAGGGCGGTGGGGTCTGATGTTACTGTAGCACCCAGGAGTCTTCTAGAGGAGATTTTGCCAGTAAGGTTGGTAACAACTCACACCTGGAGACAAATACCCTGTCAACAGAATGAATGTATCATATTGAATAAAAGACATTCGTTTGACCGCTGAGAAGCAGAGCAACGCTACGGGGTGACCGCCCCCCGCAGCATGGTGGTCACACCTGTCTCTTACCTGCCCTGACTTCCTCAGATACCATCTCACCTGGTGGCCATGGCATTTGTCAACAAAATACACGCATTGCCGAGCCACAGCCTCTGCGTAAAAGCTTCAAATGTTTTCCAACACCATCAACAGGACACGTCCAAACTCCTCACAAGGACTCCAGGAACCTACAGGACTGGCCCCTGTGCATCCGATTTCTGTCCTGGCAGCCAGCCCAGCGTCCCTGGCCTCTGTGGCTCGGACCAGCACGCTGTGCCCATTCTCCCCCATGCTGGCATCTCGACCTACACACAACCTTGTGCATCAGAAAACTGGGAGAATTCCTTCTTCCACTCAAGTGCGTTCAGCGTGGACTGTTCAAGGGGGCGGCTCACACACGCTGAAGAAATAAATCTCTTTCACAACAGGCTTTCCTGCCCATCCTGACCTCGGTTCAGACGCTGCAGTCACAGAATTGACTCCTTCCAGCCCACTCACTATCTGTTCACAGTAGGAATAGAAGCTCCTTCCCGACTTAGGCCCCAAAGCAGCCTTCCTGAAACTCACCACCTCACCGGGAGTTGTCCTCTGACCTCACAGAATCCACTTAACCTGCTCGGGCAGTCCTAGATGATGGTTTTCCCATAGGCCTCTGTCCTCCACACCCCCAGACAAGTCCGCCGTGCATTGCTGGGCACAGTCCCATGTCCCTCACCTTCCCAAAGGCTCATCCACAAGAAGCTCACCTCTCAGCACAGGTGCATCAAGTGACATCGGAAAGTCGGCCATCTGCCACCCACAAAGAAATTCAATATAAATACGGACACGCCTAAATCCAATGGAGACGAATTATAAATCCGTCTACCCTACGCCAGGGTGCGCACCAGCAGGCGGGGCACCCAGACGTGCCCAGAGGTGCAGCGCAGGCAGACGGTACGACGTCTGTCTGTCTGTCTGTCTGTCTGTCGGGTGACCGTCGCAGCTGGGCCCCTCGCACAGGGGCACTCGGCGCTGAATTATCATTTCGGCAGCTGAGCACTCTTCAGATGGAAGAAAATTGCCAAGATGCAGGAATAGCTTGTAAAGCTGAATCCCTGACGGAAAATGAGTTTTACTCTAACTGCCCAGGGTCCCAGGAGTACAGCACTCAGGCGTGATGAAGCATATTGTGACAAAATTGTCTCCGTGTTTGCTCTCTTCACACTGAGTGGCTCAGGACGGGGGTCATTTGTTTTCTTATATTTCAGCAAAGCAAACAGCCTCCCTTAATCAGATCAGAGTGGAGAACTCATACTGAGTCTCTCTCTCTCTCTCTCTCCCTCTCAACAGTGCAATTTGCAGAGTAGAAGATTAAACCTCTAATCTTTAAGATAGTTAAAAACTATGTCAAGAAAATTATATATGCCTTGGCAAAAAAATGCCAAAAAATGACAAGATGGTGTGAAACACAAAAGAAATACAGATACAGCCCTGACTAGTTTACCTCAGTGGTTAGAGTATCAGCCTGAGGACCAGAGTCATGGGTTCGATTCCAACCAAGGGCACATGCCTGGGTTGTGGTTCGGTCCCTGGCCCTGGTCGGGGTCGTGTGGGAAGCAACCAATCAATGCGTCTCTCTCACATCAATGTTTCTCTCTCTCTCTGTCTCCCTCCCTCCCACTCTGTCTGAAGATAAATGGCAAAATATCCTCGGGTGAGGGTTAAAAAAAAGAAAAGAAATATAGATACGCACAGCTTTCAATTTCCAGGGTGCAGTTCTGCTCATCCAAGGGGTACCTTCGCAGGTCCATCATGCACGCCGCCGTCGTGGTGATTCTGAAGCACACAGGGCGAGGGCAGAGAGCAAAGACGGGATGAGAGGCGCAGCCCCGAACAGCCCCCAAGAAGGTCCCCCTTCTCCAGAGTACCCCCGACTCAACATCACGAGAAATACTGAGGAAGTTTGTAGGATACTGTAGATAAGCTTTATCAAGAAAAGCAACAGAAAACCGTCAAATCCTCCAGTTACCCAAGGAGTCTTGTTGACTTTGGATAATCAAGGCAGAGAAAGGGGTTTCTCGGGAGGTTCTTATCTTCAGTGTTTGTTCTGCCTCCTGGTCTAGGGGCTTTCTGCCCTTTGGTGACAGCGCTGATTAGAATAGGACTGAATTCTTCCACTTTCCATGTGACATGTCCGAGTGGCTACGTATCACAGGCTGCCCCCTGGACTCTGAGCCCAGCTTCTCCCTTATCCTGTGTGATTACACCGGTCTGCTGGGCTGGACCCTAACAGTCCAGAGCTTTGCACCATGACATCACCTCTCTTTTCAGAAAGAGTACTGGCTTTTATTTGATCGATTCTGAATCAAAATCGAGGGGCTTTGCTTTCCTTGGGGTCAGCTGCAGCCAGGGGAAGAACTCACATCATGACCCGGGGACAGTTAAAGCCTCCACGCCATGCAATGGTCACACCAGCTGCACACAGAGGGAACACACCTGCCAAAGGGGGGCTCATTTCCTCCTCTGAGCCTGCAGCTTCATTCCTGGGAAACCAACCTACCCAAAGCCTCTGTCGAAAATGCAACAATTAGACCAATACACGTTACTTTCTCTCTGGAACCCCGCCCCTTCCCCACCACAGGAGCAGCTGGCTATACTGCGGTGAATCCCTGATTCAAGGACAGGCAACATGTAGTTGATCAAGAATCTGTAATGACTGCCTGGCTGGTGTGGCTCAGTGGTTGAGCATTGACCCACGCACCAAGAGGTGGCCGGTTTGATTCCCGGTCAGGGCACATGCCCAGGTTGTGGGGCCGATCCCCAGTGGGGGGCATGCAGGAGGCGGCCAATTGATGTTCTCTCTCATTGATGTTTCTATCTCTCTCTCTCTCCCCCTTCCTCTAAAATCAATAAAGGGGGGGGGGAAAGAATCTGTGATGTAGATACAGAGAACAAATTAATGTCGCCATGTGGGAGGGAGTTAGCGGGAGGGGAGGGATGAGTACAGTGAAGGGATTAAGAAGTACGAATGTCCAGCTATAAAAATCGTCATCGGGACGTAAAGTACGGCACAGGGGATATAGTCAGTAATATGGTAATAACTATGTATGGTTTCAGATGGGTACTAAATTTATCAGGGGGCTTACTTCCTAAGTTATATAAATAACCACTGTGCCTTACACCTGAAACTATTATAATAGTATATGTCAGCTATAATTGAAAACTTAAAAAAAAATAAAACATAAAAGAACCTGTGATTGAGCTGAGTTAAAACACAGTGGGACTTTATAAAGAATTCTTTCTGTGGCAACGAATTAAAGACAAGACAAGAATAGAGCTGAACTTGCAAGTCGTGAATTAGGAGCTTGCGATGCCATTCTCAGAGCGGAGAGGAAGGTATGCGAACACCTGGTGCAGGTAGAGAAAATGCAAAAGAGACGGAGAGGAGACAGTGGTTGCCATGGTGCAGGGTGTGCCCTCCATCCAGGGGTCCGTGTTCTCGTAGCTTCTGTGCAAGTCTGCAACTGGCAGCCCTGTCTATGCCCATTCAGTGATGGATCATAAGAGTGAATTTGGCCCCGGCTAGTTTGGCTCAGTGGTTAGAGCATCAGCCCGGGGACCAATGAGTCACAGGTTTGGTTCCGGCCAAGGTCATGTACCTCGGTTGCGGTTTGTCCCAGGCTCTGGTTGGGTTGTGAGGGAGGCAGCCAGTCGATGTGGCTCTATCACATCGATGTTTCTCTCCGTCCCTCTCTCTCCCTCCCTCCCACTCTATCTGATAATAAGTAGAAACGTAGCCTGAGGTGAGGAATTAAAATTTAAAAAAGAAAAGAGTGAATCAGAATGTCTTCTGCTGAGACCCCTAGGGTTACCTTGCATTCCCAACTCCCATGCAGTCCCAGCCTCCTTGGAGCCCAGCATCCATCTCTCGGACAGCCTTCCTCTGAATAACCACAGCAAGCCCACTGCTGGCAACGTGAGGAGGCTCAGCTCCTACCAGCAGACCCTAACTGAACGCCAGGCAGACCCAAACCCGTGCAGTCCTGTGGGGCTTCGCTCACGTAAGCCCAGCGACATAAGCCCAGCACAGGTGCTCCGGAAACAAGGGAGCATTGTTCTGTACGAGCCTGAGCACATACTACAATCAACCAATGAATGCATCAGTGAGCAGCACAAATCTCTCTTTCTCTCTCTCAGATCAATACATAAACAATTTTAAAAATGCACACAGTTTTAGAATGAGCCGGCAGCCACACCAATAAGGAGACTTCATACAAACCTTCTGAAAGACGAGCTAGCTGCCTGTTAACACTGTATCCCACATGCAAGTATCGAAAGGACTTGGACAGTCTGAAGCAATTTCTAACAGCAAGTAGCAACTTGACAATATACTTCCCAATAAGCTTCTCAGGAAGAACATGGCTACATTGTTTTGATAAAGAGAATACACCTGAGGCACCCAGGTGCTTTTTGGAACAAAATCGGAGATTATTTTGTGAACCAATTACCAGCTCCCGGTGTCTGAGAAAAGGTTCAAATGCACAAAATGCATGGCCTGGAGTAAAGAGCATGTTACAAAGTTTCCTCAGTGGAACAGAGTGAGACACCAGTAATGTCAGGTGACCAGAGGGCTGCAAAAGCAAGACGGGAAGACGCCAGCTTCTCGTGGACAGCAAAAAGCTGCCCCCAGCACCAAATAAGCAGAACCACTGTGATGAGGATGGGACTAGAACCTATGGGTGGGCCTCTTAGCCAAGATCCACCTCGTTCCTGAGAAGGAACTGCCCCAGATCTCCAAGGACCCGTAGCTTTATTCAAGGAGGGTATGCATCCCGCCCCGGAGCCTTCTCACATCACGTGGGGACAGCTTTGTCTTTTCCAGTCGAGTTCAAGCCTATGCTCAGGCTCGTGCTGGCCCAAGCACGAACTCAAGGGCTATCAGAAGCTCTGAAAAACAGTCCAGGATCTGAAACAACCTCTCATCACTACGAGGACACGGTCGCCCTCACGCGGCCGTGCGAGGGCTCGCTGACATTTCTGCAGAGTCATCAGAGTAATGGATTCGTGATTTCCCAGAATAAGACTGTGATGACGTGCAAGCCGACGCCACAGAGAGCTCACCCACAGCCAGAGATCTCCATCTACCCTTGATAAAGCCACAACCCTCACCGGTTCTGGGCTGGGGAAGGGAGCCCAGGGGAGCCAAATGGTAGCGATTCCCATGCTCCATCGCCTTCATGAGGTCTTCACCATGAAGTCAGCTGCCCAGACCCCCTTCAGGTCCATGCCATGTACGCCTTACCCAAAGGATACAGTATCACTGGGGCCACCTGCACTGCCCACACGATCCAGTGCGGACCAGGTCACAGAGAGGGGAGAGAACTCAGCCTTAGGGCCAAGGAAAAAACGGGTGGCCCAGCAATGTGAGGGCTCACACTTGGATTTCTGTCACTAAACATGACACATATATCGTGCATGTGTGTATGTACGCATAATGCAGAGTGCATATAACGGCTCTTCAGTTCACATAGAGTATGTATGCTGTGTATCCGCATTTAATAAAACTATCAGTGTTGTGACAGGCTAAGGTGCTTTTTGGTCCACAAATTCAGATGACTTCAACTTCAAATGAATCTCTGTGGCTATGTGTGGTTTTTAGATGTAGAGGCAGAGATTTCGGACGAGCCAGCTTTCGGAGGGAGCAGATGGCCGAGCGGCTGCGGCGCGAGTGGAACTCGGGGGTCTGGTGTTTGGAGATGTTCTTTCTGACAGCCGGTCCAGTCCGCACAGATCGGAAGACTTTGTTTCAAAAATGTGAAGCTCTAAATAAAGGTGGAAGGGGTACACTGAGATGCCATTTGACTAAAAACAGCAACTTATTTAGAAATCCATTTGCTGATTCCAGAGGCTGGTGGAGACGTGCAATGGATGTACAGAAGAGAGGTTTGTTTTGTTCGGGTTATTGTAAAAGTCTGTGACTGAAAGTTGCCCATGGCTTATTATTGCATTACTATTTAACTTTTACACAGAAAGGTACAGACGGAATATTAGTTAAAGATGTGGTTTTATTCTGTTAGTTTTTCTTATTCTTGTCTACTTTATGGTGTTAAATCCCAAACACAGTCAAATGGAATTTGGGAACCGAAGAGGGTCCAACCACTCTTACATCACTCTGTCTGCTATGACCTGGATGTGAAGGTAGCCCTGCCCTGGCCGGTTTGGTTCAGCAGTTAGAGCGTCGGCTTGTGGACCAGAGAGTCCCGGGTTCGGTTCCCACTAAGGGCACATACTTCGGTTGCAGTTTGTCCCCAGCCCCGGTTGGGGTCGTGTGGGTGGCAGCCAGTTCATGTATCTCTCTCACATCGATGTCTCTCTCTATCTCTCTCTTCCCCCCTTTTCTCCCTCCTGCTGTATCTGCAAAAAAAAAAAAAAAAAAAAAATGTGTAGGTAACCCCAAATTTGTAAGTTGAAATCCTAGCTCCCAAAAGTGGTGGTATTAGGGGGTGGGGACTTAGGCCATGTGGGTGGAGCCTCGTGAACAGGATTAGTTATAAGAGACGCACAGAGCTCCCTTGTCCCTTCCGCAGTGTGGGCTCAGCAAGAAGGTGCCCGCAGGGAACGAGGGAGCTGGTCCTGACCTTGGCGTCCACCTTCCAGATCTCTGAGAATAACACCTGTTGTGTCACCCCATCTGTGAGTTTGTTATCGCAGCCTGAATGGACCCCAACACTAGTCTGCCGGGGGTTGAAGCTCTTTGCCTTTAAAGGGGGCCTCACTGATCCACCCGGCTCCAGTGAGAACACAAAGAATATGCAAATAAAACTGGACAGAACCCCAAGTAGAAAGCTTTGTTCGAAAGCCAACAAGGCCTAGCTTAATTCTGATTGATGTTTTTGCCCCTCCCCCTACACACAAGCTTCTCCGGACCGCAGGCCAACGCTCTAACCGCTGAGCCAAACTGGCCAGGGCCAAGCTTCTTCTAGTCAGTGTTTTTGGGGTAGAGGCAGGTAAATGAAGGACAAGGCTTTATTTTGTGCTCATGTGATTTCTGGATAATCTTTTGTACAAGCGATGTCTCCAGAACTTTGTAACCACAGCCCTTACTGCTGGGCAAAAACATAAAATGCTAAAAACGTCCCCGAGAAGCATCGACCTAGACTCATTTCGCAGTGGGACCATGCTTGGGTGACACGTGCTACCGTTTCCTTTTCTTACCGTGGGGACACTCTGATTTCTAAAACTCTGACTCTTGCTCTGTATATAGCTGTTTTGAGAAAGTCCCTAATGTTTTCTACTCATCTCGAAGCCCTGGCCGTCACGGTGCTGTGGATTTAAATATACGTTATTATGATTTCACCGAGACCTGCTGGAGTCTCAGTTAAAAGGTGACAGACACAACATTTTGAGATAAATCTTAAAACTGTGGGCCAGTCCACAGACCAATGAGTCGTGGGGTCGATTCTGGTCAAGGGCACGTACCTCGATGCGCTTCATCCCCGGCCCTGGTTGGGTCGTGTGGGAGGCGACCAGTTGATGTGGCTCTATCACATCGATGTTTCTCTCTTTGTCTCTCTCTCCCTTCCTCCCACTCTCTCTGATAACAAGTCGAAAAATATCCTCGGATGAGGAATAAAAAAACAACAAAACAAAATCCTGTGGGCCAGTCTTTGAAGACCTCAAGGACACATGCAGGCCAGGGGATCAAGGCAGACACACATAATTATTCTAAAATAAAACACAACAAAAACCAGTGCAAAGTCAATGCAAGAAACAAAATACTTTTAAGGGCACCCTTTAGCAAGGGGGCAGTATTCACAACACCAAACCCAGAGCAGTGGCGGGGCACCATGGGAAGGTCTGGTGGTTTCCAAGGTAACCAGAGAAGCCCCAGAGCTGCTCAGGTCCCAGGCAGCAGTCTGATCTCCGATCCCAGTGATTTCACTGTGAGGCCTGGTGAGAGATGCCTCTCATCAGGGAACTTTGCATTTAGTCATTCCCATGAATATCGGTGGCACCACCTCGTGACACTCCATGGAGCCTCTATCAGCAAAAATAAACGTTTTTTTTTGTGTGTGTTTTTTCCCCCGACTCTGCAAAAGGCCTTGGGAAAACGTTACTGGAAGCTTCTGCAGCGTCAGGGTAATATTAATTATGGGCCTTTGTCGCTATAATATGAGAAACCCAACCCGAGGGAATCTGGGTTCTCAGATATGGCAACCCAATTAGATCCAATCAGCCAGGCAGGCTGTCCCCTTGATGACTATTAATAGTCACAGTAATGCCCCAATCCTATAAGATTCCTTTTTCTGCAAAGCTCAGAGTGTTCCACGATGTTTCCTGTTCAATCTGAGACATGGTTTCAGCAGCTACTACCATCTCAAGCAAGACATGCAAGGCCAGCCCCGAGGGTAGACAGACCTGAGCCCATACAGCACCGTCCCGTCGGGGTGGAGCCGGATCATGCGGTTTTTCACGGTCACTCCGTGCACGAATGACTTTTTGTCATTTAAGAAATATGTGTCAGGCACCCATAGCTGGTCAGCCACGCGATTGTCCAGTGTGAGGTTGAGCGGGATCCCGGAATAGGCGAGTCTCTTATCTCTCCAGTATTGTTGAAAGTACATGGTTAAGGTGTAATCCTGGGGGGAGGAGGGGGAGAAGAGAAAAGAAAGAAGTTGATTTGTGCTCAGCCACAGGCTATTGCCGCCACAACTGGCCAAATCCAGGATGACACCCGGGAGAAACAGACCGTTTTCACACCACGTGGAAAGCTGTGGTTGGTTTCTTGTAAATGCAATACCCGGTGTAACAGGTGTAAGTCATGTCTATAAATCCTCTTTGTTATTTAGGTTAAAAACAAGACTAGATGAACTGGCATTTAAAAAACCACCCAGAGCCCTGGCCAATGTGGCTCAGTTGCCTGGGCTTCGTCCCGTGCACCAAGGGGTTGCCGGTTTGATTCCCAGTCAGGGCACATGCCTGGGTTGTGGGTTCGATCCCTGGTAGGGGCGTGCAGGAGGCAGCTGATCAATGTTTCACTTTCTCATTGATGTTTCTCTCTCTCTCTCTCTACCCTTCTCCTTTCCACTCTCTGTAAAAATCAATTAAAAAATATTCTTAATAAAAAAAAAAAAAGAATGAGTATGAGCTTTGTGATCTAATAGGGGTGCTGTCCAGGATATATTGTTAAGTGAAAAGAGAAAAGCTGAAGAAAGCACACACACAACTCCTTGCACCGCCCCGCGTTCTCAGACCTGGCTGGGTAGCTCACAAAGCTCCCTCTGGTTCTAATTTGCTATAAACCGATTTTAGGAGACTGCACTTTGGACAAGGGTAGAGGTTTGCAGTAGGTGTAGCATTTATAAACTCTCCCTCCTGTAAGTGAATTAACTGACACCCTGGGTGTGTGCATGGATCCTGACTCACCCCCGTGTCAGTGGGCATCTCCACAGCCCCGGGCACCCCGAGAGTATCTGGATTCTGTGTTAGGTGCAGATCCGATCCTGAAATGGGAGGCCTTAAAGAAAGGCACTGATTTCCTGGCCCCAGTGCCCTCAGCTGCCAGCACCCCCTTCTCAGGTCCACTGCTCCATTCCCCAGCAGTCCACCCCCAAATCCTCACCAGGGGAGGTGGCTGGGTTATCCTTGGGCTCCTGGGTTCCCTTGGCCACATGTCCAGTGGTGGAGACTTGGTGCTGTTCCACCTTGGGTCACACATTGCCTGAGGTGTGTGTGTGTGTGTGTTCATAACATGTGTGTACATGTGCGTATGCATGTGTCTGTGCATGCATATGTGCAAGAGCATATGTCTGTGTATGTGCATGTGTGTATCTATGTGTGTGCGTATGTGCATGAGCGTGTATCTATGTATGTGTATCTGTATGTATGTGTGCATGCATGTGTGCATGAACATATGTCTGTGTGTGCATGCATGTGTGTAAGCATGTATCTGTGCATGTATGTGTGCATGCATGTGTGTGCCCATGTATCTGCATGTACATGTGCATGCATGTGTCGGTATGTGTGTGTATGTATGTGTATATGTGTGTGCATGCATGTGTGAACATGTGTGTCTGTGTGTGAGCATGTATCTGTGTACATTAATGTGTGTGAGCATGTGCCTGTGTATGTGTGTATGCATGTGTGCGTGAGTACGTATCTGTGCACACATGTGTGTATGCATGTGTGCACACATGTGTGCATGCACATGTGTATGTATATGTGTGTGCATGTGTACATGTGTCTGTATGTGTATGAGCATATATCTGTGTATGCATGTGTGCATGCACATGTGCATGAGCATGTATCTGTGTATGTGTGCATGCATGTGTGTCTGTGTATGTGTGTGTGAGCGTATATCTATGTATGTGTGTGTGCATTAATGTGTGTGAGTGTGTGCCTGTGTGCATGAGTATGTATCTCTGTGTGCATGCATGTGTGCATGTGCATCTGTGTATGTGTGTGTAGCATGTATCTGTGTATGTGTTTATGCATGCATTGTGTGAGAGTGTCTATCTGTGTATGTATGAGTGCATTCATGTGTGCATGAGTGTGTGTGCATGCATGTGTGAGTGTGTCTCTGTGTGCATGTATGTGTATCTGTGTGTATATGTGCATGCATGTGTGTGAGCATGTGTGTGTGTGCATGTGTGTGTGAATGTGTATCTGTGTATATATGTGTGCATGCATGTGTGTGTGACTGTGTGTCTGTGTATGTGTGTGCACATGTGTATCAAATTAACCAGCATGAAACACTGATGCCCACCGCTTCACAACACCTTTACAAAGTGACAGCAAACACCGGTCACTGGATTTCCACAAACTTGTAAGTCATGTGTTTAGAATTTGCACAATGTTTTCTATTTGAAAAAATATGACACAGGTTTTACCTCAGATTCCAAAATTTCACTTCATGCAAAAGTCAGAAGCCAGAGTATCTGAGTGAGACACCAGGCCAGCCCAGTGTCTCCTGGTTTGGAGCCAGTGGGCTCAGGGAGCAGTGGGTGGGGCAGGAAGAGGCCACGAGGCCAGGAGAAAACTTGCAGCACCCACAGCCCCGGGGTGAGCCCCAGTCCTGGGGCCAGGAGCAGGCATTCTGGAGTATGAGCAGTTCATGAGCCAAACTTCTGTGCATGGGTGACTGTCCTTCCCAAATCTCCTGGTTAACAAAGGAAACCTCGGCCCATCTTTAGGTGTATGATTCAAGCATCTCAGATAAATTGCAGCAAGAGATAAACAACGTCTCTTCCGGCTCGTGCAAATCTCTTGGCGTTTATCGCATTAAAGCGACAAGAATACATATTTGAAAGTGAAAATATTGCTCATTATTCTGCAATTAAGTAATTGACTAGATTTCCTCAGCACAGGAAATGAAGGGGAAAAAAAATACTAACCCTGAGAAAGAAAGGCAATCTCCAAACCAAATTTAAATATTTAACTGCAGCTGGGAAAGTCACAGGGCACCGGAATTTACACCTGCTTCAGCAAGTTTATGATACAAAGCCTCACAGGTACATTGTTCTCAGGTCAGGGAAGACGGAAAATTGTTGCGAGCACTTACGTAAGCCCTAAGTGCTGCAGGCTCCCTCTGCAGGCATTTCTGCAACAGAGATTAGGCTGGGGAATCTTGGCATTTCTATGAACACAATTTATTTAGAAAATTGTAACCCATTCCTTTTAATGGCTTAATGCATCCATCTCTCCTCCTACAAAAGACGTGGAGGTATCTCCGTTCCCATTTGTTGAATCCATATGGCGAATGGAAAAGCATTTCATTCCCTTTGTGATCCCCTCTGCCTCCCTCCTTCTGGCTTCAAGCATCCCTTGAGTATCTACCACAGGTCAAGAACCTTGCTGGGTGCTAGGGACCCAGAGATAAGAAACACAGCCCTGGCCGGTGTGGCTCAGTGGGTTGGGCGCAGGCTCGGGCCCCGGGCCCTGAAAGGTCACCAGTTTGATTCCCAGTCAGGGCACACCGGGGACAGGAGGGAAGTGACCCACGTTTCTCTCTCACATCGATGTCTCTTTCTCTCTCTCCCTTCCTCTCTCTTTAAAATCAATAAAAACATTTAAAAAAAGGAAACACATCATTTGTACCTTCAAGTAGCTCACATTCGGGTGGGGTACCTATAAAATCGAACCGGCCTCCCCGTCAAAAATTAAAGTGACGAAGAGAAGTCACTTTGGTTTTTCACCCAGACCCCCTGTTCCCCTCCTCTGGTAACCACCGGTCTGTTCTCTGTGTCTACGAGTCCATTTCAATTTAGCTTGTTCGCTTATTTTATTCTTTAGATTCGACATGTAAAGTGAAATAATCGTATTTGTCTTTCTCTCTCTGGCTAACTTCACTGAGCTCACCACCCTCTCGGTCCATTCACGTTGTTGCAAATGGCAAAACTTCATTCTTTGTTTAAAAAGGTTCAACAGAAAGAAAAAAAAAGGCATTTATTTATCATAAAATAAAGGGTGAATATCTCCATTTTAAACCAAGAATCCCTCCCATATACTTATACTGTAAAAATTCAAAAGGCCTTTGGTTTTATATATGTGCCTGTGTCAGGATTTAACAATGGGTTTCCTCTCCTCAAAGACAAACCACGTGGGCTAGTGCTGCCACACACTTTAAAGCATTTTCCGTTTCCAAGAAGATGTGCTATTTTTAGACAGCAAGCCCATTCATTTCTGAGATCATGTCTATTTATGGCTTCTACCCAGAAATTGTTCGGTTATTGCTATTACACAGATCACGGTAGTAACAATGCTACACATCCTATAACTGAAAAAAATATTGGCTTGATCGTTTTTCCTGAACTGTTATTAATTTCAGCAGAAGTGTGTGGATGGACCTCTCTGCATGGATCACACTAAGCTCTCCTGTCTTCTGCGATGTGGTCAGCAAGCCTGGGTTCCCGGCAAGATACCAAGCCACAGGTTTCCACCCCTCGATCAAGCGTGGTGCCCAAGGAGAGAGAATCCCAGGGCTAACACCACAGTTCAGTCTTGCTTTTTTATTTATTTATTTTTTTAATCCTCACCTGAGGACATTTTTTCATTTTTTGTTCAGATAGAGCGGGAGGGAGAGAGAGAAAGACAGAGAGAGAGAGAAACATCGACGTGAAAGGGACACATCTAGTGGCTGCCATCCGCACAACCCAACCAGGGCTGGGGACAAACTGCAACCGAGGTACATGCCCTTAGTGGGAACCGAACCCGGGTCTCTCCGGACCGCAGGCCGACGCTCTAACCGCTGAGCCAAACCAGCCAGGGCCAGTCTTGCTTTTGAAGAACACTTTACATGCATTTTGCACTGGGCCCCACAAATTGTGTAGCTGGCACCAGCTGTGAGTAGTAAAAGTCCTTTGTCTCTGACCCGTGAGACTCATGTCTTTTTCCAGCACCCACAGAACTGTGGGTAAAATCCCACACCCATGCCTGCTCTTGACACACACTCTCTTGCTTTTCCTCTCACCCACTGGCCCGTGTTCTTTGCTGCTCCCTCAACTCTTCCTTTTCTTCTTCGTGCTAGAGCACCCCGGGCTCCACATTCTGTGCCAAACGTACCCATTTACCCAATCAGATATCTGTCCCTTTTCTGCTCTTTCTACACTCATTTCCTTGGTACCAAATCTACCCACTTAAC